CTTTTGATGCTCAGTATAAATTTAAAAATAACTCGTGATGGAAACCAAGGACCTTCGTTGCCACTTGTGAGATGAAATTAGTGCTAGAGACCTTCGGAAGACCTTTTTACAAAAACGTTATGCAAAAAGGCTAATTTGGTATCTCGCAACGATCTTCATTCATGGTACATGATGGGAAACAGTTCAGAATGAGAAATAAAGCTTGGCGAGTCCACTTGTGAGTTATCACTGTATCCGTGTATTTAAGTGAGAAAATATGAGATGTCCAACCTTAAACAATAAAAAACGAGTTAAGAAGTTATGTGTAAAGAATACTATGGGCAGTGGTGGCTTGATGGTTAGGGTAGCCCACTTGTAATTGAAAGATTGCAGGTTCGAATCCCCCACCAGCAAGTCACCACTGAGGTACCCTGAGCAAGGTACCATCCCCGGGCGCTGAATTAGCTGTCCCCTGCTATGTCACGAAAGTCACATATGGGTCAAATGCAGAGGTCACATTTCGTTGTTGTGTGCTGTGGTGTATTGACAATGATCACTAAATTCTATATCTTCCACAGACACTAATCCTTCGTTACATAAGCCTGCATGTTCAGTATGTCAGGCTGTGGTTTCAGTCTGTGACGGAAATATGATACAACACCCCTCTAGTGACTCGTTTTCAAAAAAGCGACTAGCGGTGTTACTCGGTGTTAAGCGACTTTTTTGGTGTTACTGGAGACTTTTGGAGACTCTGACATGGAAGCACGTATCGTTCTTACTCTTCTCCCCGAGCAGCGGGTGCTGCCACGGGATCCTCTCCCGTCCCAAAGCGCTCACAGGCGCATCATGCAAATGAGGCGACGACGTAAAAATTTAGCGACTTCTAGCGACTTTTGGGACAGCCAATAGCGACTCTCCTTGTTGAGGAGTTGGCAACAGTGGCGCGAACTTCTCATCAGTGTTGGTTCGGAAAGCGAGAGAGAAGGAGTTCTTCTAGAAATTGCCTGCGCTTCAACTCTTCTCGCCATTTCGTAAAGTACTTTTAAACTTTTTAAACAATGCAGTATTTCAAGTTTCAAAGTAACTGTTTCACAATGTATATTGTGGTTTAACTATGTTTATACACACTTAAATCAACAAACTTAAATGACACACCGCT